GATTGAACTGTCGGAACAAAAAGTCGAGGCAACGCGGCGGAAGATTCAGCCATCCGCAAGTGTAGCGCACGAGAAGTGCGAGGTGCAGCCCAGAGCTTTAGAGAAGGCTAGCACGTTTAAAAACAGCAGCAGGTTCGATGAAGAACCAAATTCGAGTGCTGCGAAAGATGCTGCACTGAGTAGAGAGGCCGACGAAGGCCAGAGCAAGTGCGACGAGGTGCTGTGCCAGTTAACTGTTAGCAAAACACCTAGGATAGCTGTAGAAAAGCTGGTACAGACCTCAACTGTGTTGGTCGCGACGGTGGGTCCTGCAAACGATGTCGAAGTAGGCAAGGACACCGGAGTTAGCTCAAAAGCAGCGAAAGCAGAGAGTGAGAAGAACAGTGCGGTTGTAGGCAGCTCCCAGCAAGGTGAGCGAGATTTTTCGAAGGGAAGCAGCTGCACTGTTCCTAAGAGCTTCGAGCTGTACGCCAGTCTAGAGTGTGAAATAGGTGGTTTTTTCGAAAATCATTTAGACGGCGCGGCGTCGACAGCTGACGAGTGCAGTGAGAGTGTTGGCGACCTTGAGCTGCGAGCGGTAGGCTCAGAGACGAGTCGCAAGAAACGGCACAGACACAAGAGACGTCGGAAAGCCGCGCGAGAGAAAAAAGGTACTACGCGGGTAAAAGAAGACGCAAAACCTTTTAGCGTAACAAGTAGTACTAGGAGCTCCGAATCGGCGTTAAGGCCGCTTTGCATGTGTCCGAGCCGCCGGACGAAAAGTAAAAGAACAGCGGGTTCTTTGCAAATGCAATCAAGTGGAAGGCGCCAGTTTCGTCGAGTGTGTGAGCACAGGGTTAGTGCAAGTCAACCGGCCCGACAAGGCAACACAGCCGAGAAATCAAAGTGCCGAAGTAGTAGGGATGGTGGTGAGAAGCACCCTTGAGCTGTAAAACCATCGATGACCCGACCCGAGGCCAATTTCCTAACGGTGCAGGAAAAGTCATTCGCAAACGTTGCCGTAAGAAAGCGAAGCGACGAAGCAATGTTAAAGATGGCCATCAGCCGGGCGAACGAGAGAAGGGTAGGTTATCGGCCAGTTCAGCGAAGAGGCCTTTGTGGCGGGAAGGAAGGTGCCAGCGGCAAAAGGGTAGAACACAACGCACATCCTCACGACAGAATTCGCGGCCGAAGTTTAAGGTTTTGCGAAGGCAGGAGGGTCGACGTGGTCGTAGGAAAAAGGCCAGTCTAGCAAAGCACCGCGCGGGTGCAAGCCCAATAAGGGCATCGCCACTCTTTTCTGTGGATCGCTGGTGTCCTCTCCGCCAGACTGACAGAGACAGGCCGAATTCACGAATGACGCGTGACTGTGCAGTTCAGCTTGTTGCTCGTGCACGTTGTTGTCTCGCGCGTTTTCAGAATCGAAGACCACGACCGCCGCGTGTGCGATTGAAGTGAGGGACAGCTGTAAGCTGGAGAAAGTGACACAGGAATTTGCGGGGAAGCATCTTTGCTTATTTTTTGTTTTTGAAGTAATATTTCTTTTTCATCTTCCCGGCTAGTTCCTGTGGCAGCAGTTCTTCCCTTCTAGATCTTTTTTTTAAAGCATTGTAAGTGTTTTTAGCTGAGTTGTTATGCGGAAGCAGTGGCCCACATCAGTCTGCCGACTGCGTGAAATTAGTTTTCTTCGAGATAAAAGCATGTAGGTCACGAATGAAGATTTGTACACCCACGAATTTTGAAATCGTGGTAGTGTTTTCGAGCGAAGCCGGAGTTTGTATGCTTCGTACCTTTTGTTGTGTAGCGCGGAGTTGTCGACCGTCTTAAAAAAGTAAATGAGCATTCCTAAAAAAAAAAAAAAAGTTTTCGAATAAAACCAAAAGCCATTTTCGAAGTGCTCATGCTGGAGAAACATTCGGTACAGGAGTTTCAGCGCAAAATTAACGCATGTTTTGTTAGATGCTCATGACGTGTACGGCTTCTAGCGGTATTTTTCATAGCATTTTGGTTTTTGTGAATATTTACGTTCTAATGAGTGTTTAGGGATACCTAAGTTAAAGGGATATCACCTATGGTTAGGTGCGTTTCCGTATGCTGGCACTCTTTGGATGAGAGTATGATGTCTTCCTAGGGCGCACAGTAAAATTCTGGGCGTTCCTTAAAAACATGGGCTGACATGAAGCTACATTCATCAACTGAGCGTGTAGTATGAGAGGTTTTGTTCCCTTCATTTTGTTTTAGTGATTGCTTATAAGGATCATATGATCACTTGAGCTGAGAGCGTTGCGTTCATTGAACTTTGAGGCTAGAGATACTTTTCTCTGACTTATAAAACGCTTTTCATTCTGTTGTGAGTGAGTTTTCATTGGCGTCAGGGTGTCCCACAAGTAGGCACTCACGACTACGTTAAGTGTCATGAGAGATTAGAGAATGCGCCCAGTTACCTTGTATAGCATCTGGCAGCATTCGTGTGAAATCTTTGTATTTGGTTGTGTTTCATGAAATTAGTCATGAAGTTAAATGTAATTTACAACTTAGTGCGGGTGGTAGGAGAAAGCTAGTTTTGTAAAAATGGAATTATGGTTATATGGGGCCAAATTGTATTTGCCTTTGTGTGCTGTTCTCACACGGCAATTTGTCCCATCTTTGGTAAGCATCTCCACGCCCATGGCTGTTGTAACATTGGCAGCACCAAATTGTCTCAAAATTTTAGCCTACAGGTTTTCCTTTTTGTGTTGAGAAGCCTGGAGGGTTTTAAGCGGGTCCAATGTGCTTGACTGCAGCATGGTATTGTGTTGTGTGGTTAGCCTTGCTGTTGTCGATCATTGTGAGCTGGTTTGGGAGTTCGTTACGAGTTCGCAGCTGGAGGTACAAAGCCAGGCCATCGTCCTCGCCACCAGCCATTCTCTTCGTGCTCAGCGGTTGGGAGTGCTGGCCTGCCGAGATTTTCCGGGCGGCGGAGGAGCTGTTACGTTTGGCCCGGCGATTCGTCTGGGCAGACACCATTGTGCATAAGCTGGTCTACATGGGAGGCTCTCAGCCCCTTCGGCGCCCAGTCTGCCAGACGCTGTTGAAGATTTCGGCAATTACCCAGACCATGCGGCAAGCAAAGGCCAGTTCCTGACTTTCAAATGCGGACCCTTTCGTCGTCCCTTCGAGCAGCAGCGGTGCTTCATGACCTCGGCGACTGATCTGGCGACGGGGAAGCTGTTGTCACCGGCGCCAGAGCTGACGGGGGAGCGGCGCTCTTTTAATCCTCAATCAAGTAGCCGACCCGCCGGCTGCCTATGCTTGTCAGGCATTGTCCCTGCTAGCCGGAGGATGAGACGTCATGTCGCCACGATGCCGTAAACCGTTCGAGAGGACAACAAAGACAGCATCTTCCTTGGAAGAGACCCTGGCGGCCGCCGCAAATTGCCCCGCTAATTGAGCGAACAAATCGGTGGGCCCTTTGATGTATGCTGTCAGGAGCTTGGGACCTCTCGACTAGCGGCACACACACGACGAGGAAGAGCACCGCTGACGCCACCTTGCAGTGCAGTGTTCACAACTCAATATTGAACGTTCACGTGGACCGTGCATGCTCGTCGCCCTCACTTGTTGTGTGTGTGTGATTGGTGGTCCACTCGGAGAGGAGGAGCCCGACAGGGCTTAAAACGACGCCGCAGAGTGCTGGACGTCGCTCTGAACCATGTAACGGTTCAACCACCACGCTCGTGGTTTGTGAAACCAATAACCTTTCCTTGCTATAAATAAGTGTAAATAGTGTCATAAACCTGTTTGTTTTCGTATCCTCTTCTTGTCAGCGTTTGTTTCCTCCACCCGGTTATACCACGCTACCACAAGAGACCGGGTAGACCCCCATTCGCAACAACTGGTGGCACCGGTGTGATGCCATCATCAGCAACTTCCTCCTTCCGACCTTTAACAGAAGAGAGTGAACAAAAACATTTATTTCATGTTCTGTGCGAGGAAATCGGTGAATAGTATTCTGGAAGCGCTGCATTAGAGAGTCTTGATCCGTGCAGCGAAGGCGAACGAGTGCATGAAGGCACGTTAGTCACGAGCGCCATCTGGCAGTTATCTTCGAAAACGAAGGAAGGCGTGCGCCCGCAAAGAAAGATGCACGCTTGTCTCGGAGGCGATAAGGTGTAGAACACAAAGCGACGGGCAGGTGCCACCACTGTGTCGTCTTAGCAAAGCATTGGAAACACTTGCTTTTCTGAGCATCGCGTTGCACTGTCAGTGCAGCGTGATAAGCGCTACGGTCCTTAAAATCATTTCTGTGTGCCTTCTCTAGTATAAAGATACACATACAGAATATTGACTTGTTAATATGGTGCCTCAGATATGGGCCATAATTGCTTTTTAATTGACAATCGCACAAGTATGAACGCTGAAACTTTGGTGGGCGCAATATTGGTGAGTGCTGTGGATGGGGTTGGCCGTTTTAGGTGTCGTTTGGTGCCGTTTGGGGTATCGTTACCGCGGACAAACAAATGTACAGACAGGCCGACAGAAAGACAGACAGACCGAAATTCTTGTGACGAAGGTCCCCAAGAAAGGTATAGTCTTTAAAAAACATGAAGTGCATTGTCATCTGTGGGTTCCATAGACCTAGCATACGAAGTTTCAAAAAATTACATAAAGCCAATGTCGTGAAAACACTAAAAATAGATTTTGAGGTGTTCGACATAGTGCGCATAGATTTTGGCACGAAAATTAAAAGTGGACCTTAAACCATGATTCTTTCTGCTAATAAAGAACTTGTGATAGTGAAACATAAGGAATTTTTTCTCAGAGTTCAGTTTGTCAATCTAAATTAAGTGTGACACCTCTTGTGACATTACAGTGGAAATTGAATGCAAAATTGCCTGTGCGCTGAACTTGCTCCTTGTAATGAAAAATGAGCAGTAACCTTCCACTGATCCCAAATAGTCTTGAACAAAAAACGACATTAGCCGGTATAGTATATCAACAATTAGGTGCAATCTGATGCAGCTATATCCTTTTTATTGCAGGAAGCTAAAGGAGAAGCGGAAGCAGGAGCAGGAAGAGAACAAGCGGAGAAAAGAAGCTTTGCACAAGAGTGAGCAGGACGTGAGTGAAGGGAGTGATGCAGATGTCGAAGCGGAGGAGAGTGATGAGGAAGATTACCAAAACTGGTACCAGCAGGAAGTGGATAAAGAACCTGATGAAGATGGTGAGCTTTTAATATTCATTATGAAATTGCCTCTTGGACCGTGACAAACCCACATGTTTAGGGCTACTTTGTAGGTACATACAAATGGTTACATATTTTTGCACACAATTTCATATTTCACTCAGGCTACACACTGGCCTTTAATCTAGTCAGACAACGATATACTAATAAGCCTTGTTTTAATGAAGTGCACTCTATAACTATTTTTATTTACGTAATTACCTTCCTGGAAAACAATGCATTTGTTGTTATCTAGGGAATAAACCTTGTACCACAGTTTCCATTTACATTCACATTTTGATACAACGAATCTCATGGGACTGCTTAAAATCCCTCCTTATTTTGAATAGTCGTTGCAGTGAAGGTATTAAAGGTTTGCATGAAAATCATAAACACAAACACGTGAGTCGCTTACCTGTGTTGTGTATACATTCGTGACCTTGTTATGCTCGAATGAGCTTGATAAAAACAAACACGAAACGTTACGGAATCAGTGCAAATTTCTTTGAGAAAAAGCGAGATCTATCCTGATATGGGCAACTCTACTGCTGAAAGACAAACATCTTAAGCGTGCGCATTCTTCTTACGCGCTGCAAAGCGTCAGCGTTAACTACCGATTCTTCACGTTGGTTTGTACGTGCTGTTTGAACGTCATTTTCGCTCTCAGCGCCTTTTTCTTATCACGACAAATGGTGTAGATCTCATCGGTCGTCACCTAAGCTCACATACATGCTTCGTGGTCGCACTGTGCGTAGTGTTCGAGCATTAGTCAAGCACGCTCGGGTGATCATTTTAGACTTCATTCCATTGGTCACTCGCGTTGCATTTTTCACTGTCGTAGCATTCCTTTTGTGCTGCTTCCAGAGCTCATTCTGAGCGTTCAAATGCCAACCAAAACACTAGAAAACAGCCGTGGCACAAGCTCGCACGTAAAGCTGTCCAACGAAAACAAAGGCGATGGAGCGAAGCCTGCCTGACGCGAGAGACAATTACAAGATGGTGTTGTCAATTGGGCTATCGCATATTTGAGCAGGGTGGGCAGATATAGAAATACGCGGGCACTCTGATGATGATGATAGTGGCACTTATGGAGCTGGGCATTATTTCTACAGCCGCGAGTAGTTTATTAAAATTGGTATTTGTTATTTTGAAGTGTTGGGAGATAAAAGGGGGCAAAATGCTGTTCGTTATTCTGAAACATTCGGCATTCTGAAATTCATAGTGAAATGTTGTCACATTAAACCGATTGACATTTGGATAGGGATTTTTGAAAAATTCGTTAAGCTGAAAAAAATCATTATGCTGAGGTAACAAGATTTGACTGTGTCTGCAATGAACATCTCAGTTGTGTACTTCTTTTAACCATTTCTGTGTCTTACCCAAGGGCCCATACCGTAATATTGTCACGTGCTTGCCCAAGAAAGACGACACTTCTGCATGTGCCACGAAGGACTACGAAATGGACGAAGAAGAAGAACTCGCTTGCGCGTTCTAATTAAAAAGATCGACCTGCTTTTGGTGTCTCAGTCTCTACGGCAAGACCTCTGTTTTGACGTCGTGACACTGGTGGAGGTGCTGGAGCCTACAACCGGATGCAGGACAGTCTTGCTCGGACCCGTTCACCTAGTCCAGAGACCCAGACCCTCGTCACGACTCCGGTGCACCAATTCAGTCGGTGCCTACTAGGCCTAAGTCCGGAGTCCGTACCTGTTCCGCCTCTAACCAGCATGGCAGCTCCTACCACATCCACGGCTACTCTTCCATCGCAGACCACTCTTCCCTCCCAGGTGACTCTTGAACATCCTCGCGTTCCTGAAATTTTCCATGGGGAAGAGTACGAGGATGTCGAGGACTGGCTCGAACAGTTCGAACGGGTCGCTGTATCTAACCACTGGAACGAACAGCACAAACTTGGCCGTGCATATTTCACCCTGGAAGATAGCGCTCGCACGTGGTACGAGAACCACGAGGCTACTTTCCAATCTTGCGAAGATTTCCGTCGAAAGCTCCTCGCCACATTTTTGAACATGGACCGACGGGATCGCGCACAGCAACTGATTGAGGCTTGCGCACAAAAACCCAACGAAACAGCCGCCATGTACGCAGAGAATATGATCCGTCTGTTTCGACGAGCTGACCCTGACATGCCCGAGGCGAAGAAGGTGCGTCACCTAATGCAGGGTGTCAAAGAACCAGTGTTTGCGGGCCTCGTACGGAATCCACCTACAACAGTAGATGAATTCATCAGAGAGGTGACTGTCATCGAGCGCGCACTGCGACAACGATACCGACACTTTGACCGCCTGCCGAACCACACGGCAGTAAGTGCTGCAGCTCAGAACACTGCCGTGTGTGAAAGTTCCCTGCGACAAATGATTAGGGAAATACTGCGTGAGGAACTTGGGGCCCTCTGCGTCCCTCCTACCCAACCGCCCGTCGCTGTTGCTGAAATCGTCCGCCAGGAGTTGAGGCAAGCCGTTACACCACCGGCGCCAAGTCCTGAGCCACATCCAGCGAGCTACGCTGATGTGGTCCGTCGTCCTCCACCGTCATTTGTGGCGACACCCTTTCAGCCACGACCCGCGGCCGTACCTTGGTGGCAACGGGATTCCATGAGACGACCACCAGTTCGCCGAACTGACTTGTGGCGCATGGCCGACCGTCGACCTATTTGCTTCCGCTGCGGAGAACCAGGTCACATCGCTCGCTATTGCCGTCATAGCGATTCCGGCTTCGGGAACTTTTCTCGTCCCGCTTCTTTCCGCTCTGAAGACTGTCGTACCCACGATGCCGATCAACTGTCGACTGGCCAAGCAACTACACCGCGTCGCTGGCGATCTCCATCTCCTGCGCGTCACCGTGACTTCCCTCACAGCTATGCGGACGTCACCAGAGGCCGTTCGCCTAGCCCGCGCCGGGGAAACTAACTGCTGCGACCTCCGGGGGCAAGGTTGCCAATCTTCGAGACACCGAAAAGTTCCCCCTATCATTGCAAGAAGATATGACGACAACCACGACAAATACGACGACGAATACGACGACGAATACGACGACGTATACTAATGCCGGTGAAATTGTACGTGCCGCTCTTGGCGTTTTCATTGACGGACATTACCTTACAGCACTGGTCGACACTGGCGCTGACTTCTCAATCATGCGACAAGAACTCGCCGACCGCCTTAGAAAGGTCAAGACACCGTGGACAGGGCCACACATAAGGAGTGCTGGTGGTCAGCTGATGATTCCCACGGGCAAATGCACCGCTCGACTTCGCATTGGGAATTCTAGCTTCGTGGCCACTTTCGTCTTGGTTCCAGACTGCTGTAAAGAGCTCATTTTGGGCATGGATTTTCTTCAAGATCATGGCGCTGTTATCAACATCCCTCAACGTATGGTGACGTTTTGCGCACATCCGTATGTCGACGACAGCAGCGACGAACTACGCGGCAGTTTGCGAATAGCCGACGATGTGACGCTCCCACCGAGATCCTGCTGCCTTGTGTCTGTGTCCAGTGGATGGCCTTCCTATAAGAATGTGATAGCGGAGCACATAGTCGCTCTTTTGCTCACGCAAGGCATTTCCATCGCGAGAGGCATCCTAACGCTTACTGGTGGACAGGCAGAAGTGCTCCTTACAAACTTCAGCAACGAGCGCCGTCAAATCCAGAATGGTACCGCGATTGCCTACTTCGACGATATAGGCCTAGCCGGGGATTGCTTGGCTTTGCAACCAGATGACGTGACAGTCCCTGCCTCGACAACTTTGTCGGTGGACATCTGCTCCACGCTACCGCCCTCTGATAGGAAGCGTCTGCTTGGACTTATACACCAATTCGAAGACTGCTTTTCGCGTACGTCAAAGGTCCAGCGGACACCATTGACCAAGCACCGCATCATTACCGAAGACAACACGCGACCGATTCGGCAGAACCCCTACCGTGTGGCTCCGAAAGAACGCGAGGAGATTCAGAAGCAAGTACAGAAGATGCTCATGGATGACGTCATACAACCTTCGAAAAGTCCTTGGGCGTCCCCCGTGGTTTTGGTCAAGAAAAAAGACGGCAGCTTGCGTTTCTGTATTGATTATCGCAAGTTGAACCAAGTCACGAAGAAAGACGTCTATCCACTGCCTCGCATAGACGATTCACTCGATCGGCTGCGTCATGCGCGCTATTTCTCTTCAATGGACCTCTGAAGCGGCTACTGGCAGATAGAAGTCGACGAGAGAGATCGTGAAAAAACGGCCTTTGTGACGCCTGATGGCCTTTACGAATTTAAGGTGCTTCCTTTTGGGTTGTGCTCGGCGCCAGCCACTTTTCAGCGTCTCATGGACACCGTACTATCGGGCCTGAAGTGGCAAACATGCTTGGTCTATTTGGACGATGTTGTTGTATTCTCAGCATCATTCGAGGAACATCTCAGCCGTCTATCCACCGTACTCCAAGCCATACGCTCGGCCGGCCTCACTTTAAAACCAGAAAAATGTCATTTTGGTTTCAACGAACTCAGCTTCCTAGGCCACGTCGTCAGTCACGAGGGTGTTCGACCTGACCCGGCCAAAATAGACGCCGTAGCGCAATTTCCTGCACCCCGTGACAAAAAGGCTGTGAGACGCTTCTTAGGGTTGTGCGCCTATTACCGACGATTTATCGAGGACTTTTCGTCTATTGCGGCGCCATTGACACGACTCACACGTGAGGACTTCCCCTTCTTTTGGGGTGAACAGGAGCAAATGGCATTCAATGAACTGCGACAACGCTTGGAAACACCTCCAGTCCTTGCGCACTTCGACCAGAACGCCCCTACAGTACTTCACACTGACGCCAGCAATGTAGGTCTAGGTGCCGTTTTGGTGCAGTGGCAAGACGGCTGTGAAAGAGTAATAGCCTACTCCACCAGAACTCTCTCTCACACGGAGGAGAACTACTCGACCACCGAGAAGGGGTGTCTCGCCGTGGTGTGGGCAGTCATCAAATTTCGTCCGTATTTGTACGGCCGCT